AATGAATGAATGAATGAATGAATGAACAAACTGCTCCAGCAGTTTATAAAAAATGAGTTGCTCAAAAAACAAACAACTGCAAACAACTTCACTCAGATGTGCATTATTTCCCAGACGAGTGCACCTTTTTACAAATTTCTTTTCATTTATAACTTTATTACAAAACAAGCTGCATCATCACAAAAAAATCAGGCATGCAAAAACATCATCTGAATCCTAAAGTTCAAATTTTCCTTGAGAATTCCTTGAGGAACATAAGCTAAGATCTAAGGAGTGTCATATGACCAGGCTTCTTCTCTCTGAACAGATGTCCACCCACAGACCCCTTAGAAAAAAGCCAGTCTCTTACTGAACTCACCCAACTCTGCCTTCATGTGTAACAGAGAACAAAACCCTGTGCTTCTAGGTGATGTGCATACGTTTGAATCCAGTATCACTACAGTGGCTAAATCAACTAGACTCTCAGGTGCTGAGAGAGTAGAGATTTTGGCCATCAAGGGGTAAGTACAAATAGTATCTAACAGCAAATTGTTCCCCAGCTCCAGCTTCAGGCCCAGTGTCTCAGAAAAAAGTCCTGGTTGGGACTCATGCTCCCCAGTCTGGTGCTCACAGCAGAACTGTCAGCTGGACAGTACACAGCTGTTCCTCTGCCAGCTCCCAGGTCCCACAATCAGGCCTCTCTCCTGCCTACCATTTCCCCAAAACTCTTCCAACAAATTTGCTGTATGCACAGATGGGGAATGGAGGATAGCAGTTGACATAATAAAGAGGGCTGTTTCAGCCTTATGCCCAAACTGCACCTCAACTATCAGATCAAGTTTGCTAATGGGAATACTCATGGCCTGGGGAAGGATAATCCGTCAGATAATCCTTCTCTTTGGAGCTCTATGAGCTGACTCTGAAGTCTCAGGGCAGGGAGGCCTTAGAACATTTCTCAAATCCAGCAAGACCTCAACCAGACGATGTCCACCCACTGGTCAACCAGGGACCTTCACATCCACCTCATAGGCTTTACTTCCATCTTCAGCTGCTCAAATTGTGACTCACCCATTGCCAAGCTCATCTTCAGTGGCCCATGGACATGGGCCTCCTTCTGAATCCCCCACAGCCTCAACCCAAGGACCCCACCATTTCAACTGAGAGTTGGTCTTGGGGCCCTAGCCAGATAGTTCTGTTGGTTAGAGAGTCATCCGGATAGACCAGCGTTGTGGGTTCAATCCCCAGTTAGAGTACATATAAGAATCAATGAATGAATGCATAAATAAGTGGAACAACAAAGTCGATGTTTCTCTTTCTTTCTCTGTCTCTCTCTCTCTAAAATCAATTTAAAAAAGTTGAAAAGCCCTAGCAGGTTTGGCTCAGTGGATAGGGCATCGGCCTGCAGACTGAAGGGTCCCAGGTTCAATTCCAGTCAAGGGCACATGCCCAAGTTGCAGGCTCAATCCCCAGTAGGGGGCGTGCAGGAGGCAGCCAATCAATGATTCTCTCTCATCATTGATGTTTCTATCTCTCTCTCCCTCTCCCTTCCTCTCTGAAATCAATAAAAATATTTTTTTTTAAAAAGTTGAAAAAAGAGTTGGTCCTGGGAACAGCAGGGTCGGCAGGAAAAGCAGACTGGAGTACAGGAGACCCAGGCATCCACCTTCTACTCACTGGCTTCTCACCAACAGCTGTATGGTATCTCTTTCCTGGGGCTGTTGTGTGCATGACAGGAAAGAAATCAAGACCCAAAACTAACACAGACCACTCACTGTCAATACTCAGGAAATAATAGCTGTTAGTGTACACATTAAAAAACCCTTTTTTAAAAGAATCTGTCTTGTCACCAGCAGACATAAAACTTGCTACAATATGTGGAGTTCAATACTAAAATACAGTGCTTTCCTTCTCTTCTCCTTTTACTAAAACATCATGCAGTGCTAGCTACAGGGTTGGAAAAGTTAGACATCAAGGTGGGGTCCCCTCCCCACCTCAAACAATGCCAAACTCTCAAGCACCAACCAAAATGCAAATAAATCCACCACCTGCTTCATACCCGGTTTCAGCTCATCTTCTGGATTTCAACACTAACCTCTCCACTGAGCTGCACCTCTCCTTTCTCCAGGGCTCAGCCCCTGAATGCCCAGCAGTCCCCCAAATTCCACATATCCTACAAGGAGCACACCCTCTGTGGCTCTTCTTCCTCCTTCCTGTCCTATGGATGTCAGGCTCCACCCCCACCCATGCTGGAGGCGGGGCAGTGGCTCATCTCAGCTCCCCTCTCTCAGTCCCAGCAGCCCTTACTTCCCCAAATCCATGCAAATGATCATGCAGCCAGACAGTGACATCACCTCTACAAAAATATCCTAGGTACTTTCTTTGTAAATGAAGAAGCAGAGAAAGCACGCAGGCTATGAAGGCCACTGCTCTGAAACTGGCCCAGAGCCTCTGCCCAGACACATGCCAGAACCTCGGGCAGCTCCTGGGGGCTGAGCACACACGAGACAATTCTTTAGTGCTGACACCCAGGCCTTCATGTTCCTGCCTACTCACTTTCTCTTGCATCGGGTAGGTTCTGATCATTCCAATACACATTTTCTCTGTTAATATGGGACGTCTCTTCCCATTTAGGCTATGAGCAGAGTCTGTCAAAGAATTGTTCTGTCCAATTCTAGTTTTAGAAATGTGAATTTTTGGTTTTATGACCCACAAATACAATTATGTATATTTCAACCAATGTGTATGTCACCTTGTAAAGAAGGAATCAAAAAGAAATCTAGCCCCGGCCGGTGTGGCTCAGTGGTTGAGCATCGACCTGTGCATCCGGTCAATTCCCAGTCAGGGCACATGCCCAGGTTGCAGGCTCGATACCCAGCAGGGGGTGTGCAGGAAGCAGCCAATCGATGTTGATGTTTTTCATCGATGTTTCTATCTCTCTCATCCTCACTTCCTTTCGCTTTAAAATCAATAAAAACATATAAACATTTTTTAAAAGAAATCTATGTTCTACCAATGTGTACCTAACAGTGGCTATCAAAACACAGCCATTTTAATACAACCTACGCACCTCTGACAATCCTAAAAAGAATCCATTTGCATTCCTTAGTTAACTAGCTGAATGAGTCCTAAATCAGAACACATGGGACTATCCCCTGAAACAAGGCCCACAGTTCTCATGCAGCAGGACTTTTTGGGTACCAAGGGCAGGGTGAAACAGCAGGTGCATAACATAAGGTGGAGAGCAGGAGCTTAAGTGGTTAAGGATGGCTAGAAGGTACGGGGTACAAATGGGAAGAAATAACCAAGAAGGAAGCCAGAGCTCAGAGGGGAAGTCTCAGAGACCACCGGCCAGTCACCAACTATTCTGCTAGAAGGTCCTCACTCCCACATTTCCCCCAGGTACATAGAAATCAGCTCAAGCTTTCCCTCCCCTCTGGGCACTTTCTTGACCCACCAACCCAGCCCTATCCCCCATTTTGATGCCCTTCCTCTGCAGCCCTTCAATGTCTCGGGCACACAGCTCCAAGCACACAGCCATATTATCCCAGCTGCTCCATCCACCTCTGCCCATAGAAGGCTGCCATGCTACCCTGAATCGAGGTGCCTGGCACACAGGATCTCTCCAGCAGCACTGGTTTTAAAATGAAGGAAAGGAGTGGGTGAAATAAGGCTTGATACTCAGATGTGCACAGGAGGAGGATGAATCTGGAATCCTCCTAAGTGGGGCAAGGTTTCGGTAAAGGTAGAGACAACTATCAGGAACTCTGTCTGCTGGTCTGAGGAATGTGTTCTCCATTCTGTGCTAAACTGAGCCTCTGTGGGTGTCTAAGGAGAGGAATGACATGATGAAATCAATGGTTTGGGAAGATTAATCTGGCAGCCACCTCTATAATGGATTGCAAACTGTATTGAATGGACAATTTTGAAACAAATAAAGCCTACACACTCAGCTCTTGCGTGTTAGAAAGATTTGGCTCTAACATACAAGCAGCCCCCAAAACTAATTGTATACGCACGCGCGCGCACACGCACACACACACACACACACACACACAATTTATTAAAGTATCAGCTCATTTTTAAATGACAGCATAATTATATACCAATACAGAGCAATGTAAAGCATAGCAAACCACTTCATAGTCCCCGAACAATGACAGTCAACCATAACTGGCAATATCCTTCCTCTTCCAATGCCACGTCTATGCTGCCAAGTTGGAATGCAGGGATGAGAAGTGGGTGGGGGAGAAGAGAGATGACAGCATTCCCTCTAGGATGGCCAGCTCCAGATGGAACGTCCTGATTGCGTACCACTGCTCTCCAAGGTAAGTGCTCACCAGGCCCCAGCCACCTCACTGATCCTCTGTGCTTGCCTGTGACTGAGGCGTGTGATGGACTAAGTCGTCTGGACAGGCACCTTGCAATAGCCTGAGCTTCTGCCTGGCTCCTAGGTCCCACTCGTGCCTACAAACCTGACCTCATCTTCCACTTGGCTGAATGATGTGACAGCATGCGGCATTATGTAAGCAAAGAGTTGAGGTACAGCTAAAATGAAGCAATTCCAGTAAATTCATGTTTCTATACTGATTTACATGAATGCTCCTACACTCAGTTTTGTTTCATATTGTACAATTTATAAGTTTTTCTGTGTGAACAGGAGAAGAAGACCTGATTTGCAAGTCTACTTATAATTTTTGTTGTAATTGTTATGTTGGTGACTCAAAATCTTTTCCCTTTAAAAGGTTTATGTTCTATACGCAATTGCTATCTACAAGCTCAGTGAGAGCAGAGAAGAACAATGTGAAACAGAAATAATTCACTGTACACAGACCTGCATGGATTCAAGTTCTAGGTCAACTACTGTGGTGAAAAACAGAAAATAAAGGACAGTTTCACCATTATCTGCCACACCTTTTAGAATGAAGCAAAAATGGTGATAGGAGCGAAAGACTGTTCCTATTTTCTGAGTAAGAAAGAAAGTTTTTTTCCAAATCTAATCAAAAATTAAATGTACAATTCCCTCCAGCAAGATTTTTATTTTTCATTTACATAGTATCTTTCTTCCAAGAATCTCAAAATAATGGAGCTCCACAAATATTTTTTTAAAAGTCACAACAACAGAGGGGACAGGCTTGGCAGGGCAGGAGCTCAGAAGTGGGGCAAGAAATGGCAGGCAGTGGTGACAGCAGGCACTTGGGGCCGGCAGCATCCAGGCCGAGGGTGGTTCCATAGAGGCTCTTCTTTTACCAACAGCCCACCGGCCTTGCTTACGTTTGCAGCTTCAGGCTTTTCAAGACAGGGATTTACCTTTGGTGTCATTTGCTAGCTTTAATCAAATTATTTTTATTTAAATAGCAATTTCTCTGCAAAAAACAGAAAAGTGGCAATAAACCAAAGACCCTAACAAGTCCAAAATAACAACTGAACCAAGGTTCCTATAATGAATTCACATTCTTTTCAGTCTCTAACACATAAAATTATGTTAGAAAATAAAATATTAACAATTAGGGGGAAAGATCCAATGTAAGAAAGCCTGTCTTGCATTTAGGAGGAAATTGGGAAGAAGCTTTAGAGTTGATTTTTTATTTTTATTTTTTTTACAGCTGGATGGACAGGATCTGAACATCTTACATTTAGCAAAAAGCTGTCAACACCCAAATAAAATTTTAATGGCATCCTATTTCTCTCAATTTTACAATATTCACTTAAGAACTAATTTGTCAATTTGTTTTTCCATTAACCAAACTCAAAACAACCATATATAACTTAAAAAAACATTAACACAACCAAATAGAAAACTGTCTTTAAGAAAACAGCTCCATGCTGATATACTCAGGGTAATGCTAATAAAGAACAAGCTTCAGAGTAAGCTCTGCTAATTTCCTCAGACATTAACTTCATAATTCAGAGTCAAAAGCATTCAGGATTTCAATTGTCAGCTAAGTCCCCAGGTCATGAACAAGACCCAGTAGGCCTGTCCTGTCCTTTTGTGTTTTAAAAAGGTGCAGGGTCACTCTGTTGAAGAATCTAGTCAATTTTATGTGAATCTCATACCTGGCTATTTTTCTCTGTTGCTCTCACGTGGTAGGTAAATTCTTGGGAGGAATGAAACTCCCAACCTCATGCCTTTCCAGTCACCTGTCTGATGGTGTTTCTGAGGAGGGAGGGGGGTGTTCCTCTGAAGAAGAATCCACACCAATCATGTTTGAGGAACTTCCCAGGCTGTCCATGGCACAAGGCTCTAGTAAACAAAAATTCTGCTCTGGGCCTCCTGTAGTAAAGAAAGCCTTCAGATGCAAGTGAAGAAACTGACAACATGTATTGTGTGCACTGACATCATTCTATCGGAATTTAATTAAAGGAAGAATTAGAATTATTTTTATTATAGAGTTGTTTACTTTTCAAGAAAAGATTCTTGATGGGTTTTGCAATAAATTACAAGTCTTCCAGAAAGAGTTGTTCACCCTCATTGTTTTTTTAACTGTGTCATATTATGTGAATAGGATAGCACACCCACTCTTAAAAAATCTTTAAGTCACAGGCCAGGTACATTAACCCAGGTGCTTCAAAGCTGTTTCAGGCGTGGCACAAATGAGGGCAATGCCGCTGGTTTCTCCTCAATCCCAAGTAACTTCCTGCAGGGCCATTTCCTGCCCAGCCAAAACTACTCTCCTCTACCAACTTTCTCAGAAGACAGCTGAAAAACAGGACTGATTACAGCTCAGCAAACCCAAAAGTGTGGCAAAACCAAGAGCTTAATACAAGTCTTAGTCGTCCTCTTCAATAAAACCAATATCCAAACACCAACCAAAACTTGGTTCTTAAACATAAAGCAAAACCAAGGCTATTTGCTGGCTTTGAAAACTAGAATAGAAAAAAAAATGACTTATACAATTCAGAGGGCTCCACCTTTATTACTGAAATGCCCCCTAACCATTTTGGGGTTTTTTTCCGGGGCAGGCTGCTATTTAAGCTTATATCTCTAAATGTAGAGCTTTTAGGGAAAGTAGTTTCTGTCTGAATTCTAAATCATTGTCAAGGTATAATACATGTACCCAAATGCTCATGGCAATAAATGTTTATTAAATTAGAAATCACAAATGAATTCACAACCCTTTTGCTATAAAAGTTACATAATACAGATATTAAACCGCTTGTCTAATTATGCCATTAAAGTTTCTTTTTGCTCCATGACCTACACATGCAGGTCTCTCTCAGGTGTCCAGGTATCCAGTTCCTAAAATGCCCAGCAGGACTGGAACATCCAGGGAAACAGTAGTGGGCAAAATGAGAAGTCATGAGGCTCCTCTTCAAATAGCTTCAACAAAACCAATGGCCTTCAGTAAAAAGTGTCTCTATGCTTTGCTATAATAACATTTAAACACAGGATTCCAAGAATTCCACCTGTTTCCAATTAGATAGCAGAATTGCTTGAGTGTTTAAACTACATTCACTTGCTACTTATACAAAACAATTCTTCCGGGTTTTTTTGAACATTTTAAGTATGTTAAAATAAGATTAAGGGTCTGGTTTAAACAATCCGAGGCAGGGGAATTTCAATTGAAACCAAAACTATCTCTCTGCAGCCATAATGCAGAGCTTCAGACAAAACAACAGGACAAGATATGTGAATGTCTATCTTTGACGATTACTTGTAAAAATCAGATCTTTCATAGGGAAAGCAATTATACTTTTAAAGTTATACATTAGTGTTTTTAAAATATATTTTTTTATTGATTTCAGAGAGGAATGGAGAGGGAGAAATAGAAACATCAATGATGAGAGTCATCTATCGGCTGTCTCCTGCACACCCCCTATTGGGGATGGAGCCCAAAACCCAGACATATGCCCTGATTGGGAATCCAACCCTGACCTCCTGGTTCATAAGTCCAGGCTCAACCATTGAGCCACACCGGCTGGGCTATACATTAGTTTTAAGTAGGTTTCAAAATAATCTCTAAAATTATGTATGATCCTATATGTTAGAATAACTCCTATAAAAACTTTAGGTAACATTTGTGTTACAGTCATCAGATACACTTGTCTTTTAAATATGTGAATTTACATGAGGCCAAATCTGTAAACTATATAATGGAAGCACAAGGAAGAATGTGGCCTAGCTCTGTAAGATTTTTTCACATATTGACTTTCTCTTTTTAAAAAAAAAGGACAGTTTCCTCGAACAAATTTATTCTTCCTTCATTTCACTGTGAATGTTCCTTGGGCTTTATAAATGAGCTGAAATGAATATGGCTTTTTCTACTGTGAGCCTGTTTTCTCTCCTAAAACACAGCCTGTGAGCACAGCCTTAAGGAGTTTTGACTGTTGACTGCTGCTGGTATCCTGGGTTGGGGGGGGGGGGTTTTTTAGGAACACAAACTATTATTTCTGCACAGCTCCCACATAAAACCTGGTGGGTTTGTTTTAATTGTACACAACTGAGGGGAGGACTTTTTCAACAGCCATTAAAGGTCTTGAGCACAATCAGTTCACCAGACAGCATTTTTAAGGTTAGCTCAGTGGATTAGGAGAGAATAATTCCTAAGGGAATTGGCAATCTGTTCCCTTTCCCTTTCCAACTTTCTCATGTAGCTAACTACTGGAAGGAGATGTGTAAAATTGGGGAAGCAGGTGAGAGGGTCTCTATGGACCCAAACGGTATGAGAAGTTGTTGTATAACTTCATCCCTTCGCTGACTTGCACCAAAACAAAAAACCCATACACATAATTTCACACACACACAAAAAAAATCTTTAATCAACTAATAATGACCGCTCCCCATACCCAATCTCAAAGACACCGATATTAAAAGAACCAAGAAAATAAAGAAAGGAGCAGCGTGGAAACCCTTGCTTTGTTTACTCATTATTTCATAAAGGGTACTCGATGGGACACATATTTCAATCAAAATAATATACTTCTTATGGGAACAGTCCTGGATGACAGGTAACATATACACTTCCTTAACAGAGAAAACAAAATAAAAGCAACCAGAAAATGGACTTACAGCAAAACTGAAATTGCTTTCTTGTTTTAAAAAAAGAAGTAAATGTTTAAAGTTTACTTTTAGAGGTTCCTTAAAGAGGAACATCAGTCACCATATAGGAATAATGCCCCCAAGGAAAGCAAGTCACTGGCAGGCTCCATCCCAAAAGTTGTGCTAACAGACAGAGTTACATGAGCTTGTTTTAGAAAGTGTCCTCTTTTCAAGCATGTATTTAAAAGGCAAATTTATACAGTGGTGTTTTTCTTATTTAAAAAAAAAAAAGCCTGGTTTTTACAAGTGTGGGATAGGATAAAAACTTGTCCAACTAGTCTTAGCAATGCCAGAGCACTGAAACTTCCATACCACAAGCTTTGGGGACTAAAAAGGAAACGAAATAGAGCTCAATCTTCAGAAATTCTCTTCCTGGGCACTGACTCTAAGTCAACTTCAAGACCGACCAAGCAGAGGGACAAGAACACAGCCCTGGCTCACTGGTTGTGGGAGAGGCCACAACGGAATTGCCTTATCTTGCAGGGACCCACTGAAGTCTCTAACCTGGATCTGGGTCTAGCTGAGACCAGCCTCTTCACCCTCAGGTATCAATACCACAACTCACACTGGGCTCTGCAGGCAACCTGATCTCAATGGAAGGGGTTCTGGAAAGATGAGAAGAATCTGAAACTAATGAATTCTCTCTTCTCAAACTGCAGTCTCATTGGGTCACTTACTGTCTGTGGGAATAGAGATGACACTAAACTAGATATCAACTCAAAAGGCCTCTTCAGGGCCCAGAGAAAGAACCAGTTTAGCCTTATACTTTGAACTTTGGCAGTCCATAGTCAGTCAACTGAAGTTTTTCAAACGTGTGAAGAAGCGGCAATAGGAAATCATCCAAGGCCAAATCAGATCTACCATCAAAAGCCAATTGGTGCTCAGGAAAGAGAAAGATGCTTTTTTAAATTCAAGATCAACATCTAATGGTTCATTCACATAAACTGACAGGGAAACTTTCAATCGAATCCTAGAGTTACACAGTTAAGTGTCCTCATGATATCCTGAACAAGTAGCTAATCACTGGGGGGAGAGTGGGTGACCTCAAAGACTTCATAAGATCTAATAACGCTCTAGAAGCCAAATGCATTTTCCAGACAGTTTTTCCAGGATGCTTAAAAAAGAATGTCACATTCAGGAAGACAAGAAAAATAAAAAAGAAAGAAAATTAAGGCTTGTCTCTTAAAACTCCACAACGGGTTTTACAGTAAGCACAGGAATTAAATTATGGTAAAAAGGGAGCTATTTTTACTAAAACAGGGTAGACCAATTTATCAAAAATGCCATTTGGCTGTGTTCATTACATTCAGGAATTTAATTTACACAATAGACACTTTGGAGTAATCTATTTTAGTCAATAAATACTCAAACTCCTTTAAGTTTTAATCTTATCGGAAATACATATTTCACATAGTCTTCTTCCCAGTTAAGCGAGACATTCGAAGAAATTTCATAACGACGATGAGTCTGCGTTACCAAGTTCTTACGTAGGCAAGAGCAAAAACAAGCAAATACAATTAAAGTTGTCAGACTCCATTTATATATGTTTTAATCCAATCTGCTTCATTTCATATAAGCCTGCATCTGGATTTCATTTGCTTTCCTCCTAAAAGTATTGTAGGTCACAATCACCAGTCCTCCGGGTTAGGAAAGTTCGGCCAAGTTTACCTTCACACACACCTTACAGTTGGGAGCAGTAGCTGGCCCTCGGGGACGCTGAGGGACCCCCCGGAGCGCCAGGGCGCCCCGGGCTCTTTTAAGCCGCAGGGGGTCCCCAGCGCTCTCGGAGCTTCTGGCCCACAAGCCGCTCACCTTCAACTTGGCTCCCGCTACGCACAACATCCACCTGGCAGAGTCCCGAGGCTGTCCAGGCGCGGCGAGCGTGGAGCTGGCAGGTTCGGGGCGGACCCCGAGGGCGCGCCGCTCCTCTGGGTGGGAGGTGGACCGCAAGAA